GGCCACAGAGAAGATGAAAAGGTACTTGTAGGTGTCCACACATTTCCAAAGCTCTTCTAACAGGTTCTGTTTCAGTTCCAAGCCTTTCTTGGCAGATTGGGTTAAGGAAACTTTCTTGTCGCGCTTGGATTTGGGCATCCGGATGAACACATGAGCCGGTATATTTTCATAATTAAGCCAAAGTGGTGTTCAAACTCAAGTGAATCTGTCTCAGGGTTTAGGAAGTCTTTGATAATGGACATAGGTCGATTTGGGATCATGGGGAGACAGAGACGGTTTCCCCACACTGATGTTCTCCTGTGTTCTGAGCAATTTTAAAAGGAACAATGAGAGAGCTTTAAGGGGTGTGGTTGGAAAGGAGTGGCTCTGAGATGAAAGGGGGAAGAGAGGAAAGGAAGCTCAGAAAGGACACAGGGCAGCAAAAAAGGGGCAGTGGGAGGAGGAAGGTGGAGGAGTGCAGCATCCTCTCATGGTTCATCTTTAGGGCTTGACTCCGGAAAGTTCTCAAGTGTTTGAAAACACTGGTCAAGCTTTGGATTAGGCTTTTAGTTTTTAATTAGTTTCCTGTAAAGAGGGTATCAGAGATTCCTCACCATGTTTAGAAGTCTCACAATACCAATTTTAAAAGGCCTCCCAATGCTTCTGAGAGGTTCAGACCTTGTCTGTCCTAATTTTGTACGCAAGTAAACTCATTTAGGCATGTCAAAAGTTCCCCACTGTGACCAACAAAGCTTTAAATTGTCCCAGGTTAGCTTTATCCAGGATCCCAAATGCTCACAAGAATTTTCCCCATAATTCTTAAACATGTAAGGCACTCGAGTTCCTGACTGGCAGCTGGTCAGGGACCAGCTTAGACCCTTAGAACCTAGGGTCCCCATAACAGCACTCACCTAACGAAACTTCCCTTTGAGTGCTCCTGGAGGCGGGCATCCCTGCCAAACCTTATGGACCAGATGGAGGGGATCAGCAGGAAGAAATGGAGTCTCTGAGATCTCAGACTAAAAGCGGGGCATCATTGTGAGTAGAACTTACCAACTTCCTTCCAGCAAGGTCGGGGAGAAGACTGAGTGTCAATGGGATCTGCAGACACCAGTGAATTGATCCTGATCACACTAGGGGTAACCTGGGGGTCTCCCCAGATCCCATCCCAATTATGTCTACTACAAATAATGAGATCCATAAATTTAGAAAGAAGAATTTTATTTCTTATCATGGGTTGCAACCTGCAAGCTGGTTGCAGAGCCTCTGGCTGAGATGGAAAGCAGGCACTTTGCCAAAGGAAAAATGAGACAGGAATTTTATGCTAAGCAAGTTGGCTAAATATACATATTTTACAGGTTATAGCAGGAGCTATGAATCCTCATAATGGGGATATCAAGCATGCCTGGTAAGCAAATATATATGTTACATACATCTCATGTTCACTTTGGGGTGAACTTAACATTAAAATGCAGGAAAATTAGGCTCTATACATCAAAAGGTAGAACACAGGACACAAAGGCACTTCGTATGCAATCTCTGTAAACAGCCTAGAAACAGCCCCGGGCCAGGGGTCATTTATAAGAAATTGCTAAACTTTGTAAATTGGCCAGCTGTCATATCAAAATCATAAACAGGGAAAGGAACCTGGCTGCAGAGTAAAGCAATTGGTAGAATCAGTGGAGGAGTCTTCCATTTTTACTTTCTAGGGCTAGATTCTGTTTATCAAAAAATCTGGTGACAGTGAGGAAGGGAGTGTACTGAAGTGTGACTGGCTTCCTGTATCGTCGTGGCTGTGAAACATCGTTTTTAAAGTTTTTTTGTGGTCTCTTTGGCCAAAAAGGGTCCGTTCAGTCACTTAAGGGGCTTAGGATTTTATTTTGATTCCATGAAATCCTACAATATCCTAGGTTCTATGAATAAGACAAACCAAGGAGACTAGAGCAGGACTCTGCAGGAGGGGAAGGACTAGACCAGTGGGCTCTCAAAAGCAGGCTCCACAGCGGCCAAGAGGATCATCTTGGCTGGATGAAGTAGGTCTGCGCCAGGCAGCCGGGAGCAGCAGGGAGGAGGGAACCTGGAAGAGGGTCTGCAGCAGGGACTGTAGCCAGTTGTGACCACACAGAAACTCAACCCCAGTGTTGCCACATCTTCTGGATTTATGTGTGCTCTTTCACGACTGTGAAATGTGGACAAGGTCTACTTTTTAAAAGGATACTGTGCAGGACAATCAAAATATATTGGGTCACATTTGGCCAAAGGCCTGTAATGGGACCTCTGGACTGGATTCCACTCTTCCTTCCAGCCCCTCTGCTAACACCCTAACACTCGCAAGGCAAATTAACAGAAATTCTACATAGAATGACCTCAGAATAAAAAGACAACTTATCAAAAACAAATGCCAACAGACAAATTAAAATGTGTCCTACTTCGTGGAAGATTTTTTAAGTCCCTTAAATATTATCTGGGTAAACTTAGGAAAGTTAAAATATAAAGAATATTTTCTTGGGCCAGGCGTGGTGGCTCACTCCTATAATCCTAGCACTCTGGGAGGTCAAGTTGGGTGGATTGCTCAAGGTCAGGAGTTCGAAACAAGCCTGAGCAAGAGCGAGACCCGTCTCTACTATAAATAGAAAGAAATTAATTGGCCAACTAATATATATAGAAAAAATTAGCCAGGCATGGTGGCACATGCCTGTAGTCCCAGCTACTCGGGAGGCTGAGGCAGCAGGATTGCTTCAGCCCAGGAGTTTGAGGTTGCTGTGAGCTAGGCTGACGCCATGGCACTGACTCTAGCCTGGGCAACAAAGCGAGACTCTGTCTCAAAAAAAGAGTATTTTCTTAAATGTGAAAATAAGAAAATCAAAAGCACCATCTATAAGATACTACCAAATTGAGATTGAGAAAAATTTCCTACAAGCTGATGGTTCAAGAACATGGCAAAAGAATCTAGGGTTTCAAGGTAGAATGGGAACAAATTTGAAGATAAAAAATATGGGAACAAGAAATAATACTAAGAAGAAAAATACTGAAAATTCACCAATATGCTTGTTAAAGCAATAGTTGCTTCTCTAAAATCAGTTAACTAACTGACGAGCATTCAGAGCATTACAACAGCAAAAACAAAACTAAAATTACAAGGTAATAAAAATCAGTCTCAAGAAAAAAAGACTTAAAATTAGTACCAGTGATTTCAAAAAATTTGGAACATGTCAGTTAAGTGTGAATTAGTGTTACAACGAGTGGAATAAACCAAAATACATTAATATGCAATATAAGAAATAAATATAAAATCAGGCAGACAAAAAAGATAAAGATTCAGAAACAAGTAATAATAGCATAATAAACAAAAATAATAACACAAAAGAGCATTTCATTCTCAGGAATTTGCTAGATAACTTTTTTTCCAAAACTTTTCAAAAAAGAATGTATTACATCAATTGTCATACACTACAGACAAGTATGGAATAAAGGACATAACGCAGGAAGGACAGCAGAGGCTAGAGTCACTACAAATTAGTGCCACTTATGAGCCCAAAGCCAAACATCAGGAATGGCACGGGAGAGAAAACCTGGTGTGTTCTAACAGGTGTTGTGCTCACAGACAGTGCACAGGAAGACAGACAGACACAGACAGAATGCTGGGGTTGAGGACAAGGGGAAGAAGGGAGAGGGAGGGGAAAGCCAATGTGGAAAAGTTAACATCTGGGGTATATCAGAGTTCCTTATACTCTTTTTCCCAATTTTCTCAAAATCTCATATCAAAAGTTAAAAAAAATTTGCCACATGATCCAGCGCACACACACACACACACACACACACTATATTAACTAAAAGTTTCATCAAACAAAAGTTACTTTAACTACATGAATTGCATTATTATTTTTTCATGTTATCCTATTTTCTTTTGTTTTCAAATGCTAATCTCTAACTACTACACCAGTGGTTTTCAACTGGAGGCGATGCTGCCTCCCAGGGGGCATTTAAATTTCTCTGGAGATTTTTTAAATTATCGCAACTAGGAAGTCCCACTGGCATCTGCTGGGATATAAGAGACTTTCATTGATGTGCGATAATTTCTCCCAGCTGAGACTTGCCTGAATACCTCAAGAACTATTTCTGGTAACAGTCTGGGGACTGCTGAGCTACGAGGACCTTCCTCTGGAGCAGCTCGCTCTGCTGTGAGTTGAATTACTCCAAGAGGACGCAATGCGCATGAAGAAATGTGACTGCAGCCTCAGGCAGGAGGCAGCCATGCTTAGAATGTTCCTGGAAGGGTGTGAGGCAGGAAAAGATCAGCCTGTAGATCCACATATAGATTTGGATGTAGACACCCCAGAATGACCAATAAAAAAAGCTTCTTAGGTGAAAAAGCAAAGGGATACAGTCAGACTGGCATCCACCCTCTCATCAGAAATGCTCAGTTCTAGAAAGCAGAAGGTAAATCTATCAGAATTCTGAGGTCTCCATTCCAGAATTCCATACCCAGCCAGACTATTAAGTCAGTGTGTACCTAGATACAGACACTCTCACTTATACAAGGACGGAAGACAGTCATCTCATAGGTCCCCAGCGACATGAGAGTAACCAGAGTAAACCCAGCAACATGGTCCTCATCACAGCGGTGCAGCGAGACTGAGCACCGGCGAAGGACAGTGGAGAGTGTGTCCTGGAGACCTGGCAGATGTGATGGACGCGTACAGTGTGGAAGGCAAAAGGGATCCTGTTTCTCTCTGCTGGGGATTTCGCACCTCTGGGTCCCTACTCCCTGAGACACTCGGCTCTGCGTGACCACGGGCAGCAATGCTGGGTGAATGAACGAGACCCAGTGTCCTGACGTATCCTTTCCATAGACGGCTTCATGGGGCTTCCTGCTCCAAGGGCATCAGAAATGGAAGCAAGCAGTCTCAAGCACCTCACCACACCCTCCAGAATGCCTGTGATCCCAGCCACTGCCAGGGTCACCAGTCAGGACCTTCACAGTTGGATAGTCTAGTAGCCAGGACGAAATGAGACAAGGCACAGAGCAAATGTGTTTGGGCTTTACTAGGGATCAGGTAGGCCTCATGCAGGGACCACGCTGGGGACCAGGGCCCCCACAGCAGGCAAAGCTGATCCTCGGGCCCTGCTGGGACAGCTCGGGGCTCTGCTGCACAGACACAACTGCCAGCAGGAAGGAAGTCAGGGTGGCCTTAGTGCAGGGAAGGGGAAAGGTGGCAGGGAACCTTGCTGAAGGAAAGTGGGACACTGAGGCTTCAAAGGGCCTGGACGGGACAGGGGTTGGGGAAGTAAAAAGCGCCAATGAGGCCTTGGAGAGGAGAAGGGAATGAAAAGGGCAGAGCGACAAGAAGGCTGCAACTTGGGGTGCAGACAGTCCACTGCTCTGCAGAGCCCAAGGAAGCAGGCTGGGCACGGGCTCCTCACTGCCATCTCTGGGCCTTATGAGGCCCTACTTGTTGCCCCAGAAGGCCACCTTTGTGTACACAGGCGTTGGGAGGTAGCGGCTGGACTTCATGTAGGCAGAGATCTTCTTCAGGCCCTGAGAGGGGGAAAAATGAGGCCAGAGCTCAGCGTCTGCTGCCCACGAGGTCTGCAGTGGCCCCACTGCAGACACAGCACTCAAGGCCCTCACGACAGCCTTTCCACCTGGGCCTGAGTGCGGGAGCATCACCTGGCCTCTTAGGGTCCCCAGCTCTGCTACGTGCACTCTTCCAATCTAACCCACGGCGTGCCTGCATAAGCGCTAGCACTTATGGAGGCCCCACACTGTGCTGGCTGCTCTGTGTCCACTACACAGTACAATGGAGGCTTAGGAAATCCACCCAGCTACCCCGAAGGATCCGTTCTGCTATCATTATTTAGCAGAAGGGAAACTGAGGTACACAGAGGTTGAGCAACTTCCTCAGGCACACACAGCTAGTAAGTGGGGCAGGGTTGGAGAGCACTTGGCTCTGGCTCTCTCCAGTTCTGGGCTCTTTCTGCCAAATGCCCCTCTTCTCCCCCTCCCCCAAATGAGGCCCTCTCACATGCTGTCTGCACAAACATTCTCCCTTTTCACAGAGAAGCTCTTGGCTTGCCTGGGTTTGCACACAGAGCAGGGACCTCTAGCAGGACAAAGGGGCTCAGAACATGCCTGGGCAACCCTCATGGGAGCCCAGATCTCACCCAGTGACTCAGCAAACCTGGATGAAAGTGGATAGTGGCCGTGGACCAGCAAAAGGAAAACTGTGCCAGGCTGAATATACCCCGTAAGCAGAAAGTACACACCTCTCCACCGGGTACCTGAGCCTAATCTCACTGTGTCCCACCTACCTGACCTCTAGCCCTGGTACAGCCGACCAGGCCACATGGCACCCAGGTGTGCTGTGCACCATCCTCCCAGGATAAGTGCCCAGATAATTTCTACAGGTTCAAGGAGATCCAGGGCTGCGATGTTCTCAAAGGGCAGGCCCTGGCAAACCACAGGCTGCAGCTCTGTTTTCCTCCTCCCCTGCCCTCCCCTCCTCTGTCATCAACTCTGGAATAATCCCCAAGGCCACTCGGCCTGGACCAGAACCAGCACTGATGAGAACCAGCTGAGACCAGCAGATCTTGAATAGAGGGAAAAGGAAAACACGTTCTGTGCTGAAAAACCTATGGGACTACTGCCTCAATCCCCTAATCTGTACTAAAGTAGGATTCGCTGTTCTCAAACAAGTTGACTACAGGTAACAAATGATCCTCCCTGAAGTCCACCAGGTTGGTACAACTTACACCTCACAGTCTGCAGTGCCAGCAGTCCCCCCACTGCACTCGCTTCCAGATTGGACTGGTCATCTCTGCATCTCCACTGTGCCTGACATCCTGCCTAGTATAGACAAGACCAGTCAACAGGAGCTAAATAAGTGCACTGCCCCTTCTCACAGAATAGAGCTCCTGGAATGCTGGAGGACAGAGGGAACTTCAAGATAAACTCCTTCGAAAGTGGCGCCCACATATGCACTCAAATCCAGCACCAAGACAGCCCTGGGATCTCAGTATTCCCCAGATGAAGGTCCAATGGGAGCAAAGATTTCTGGAGACGAGGTAAAAATATTGTCTGTGTCTTGGGTACGGGACCTCAATCCGACCTTGTGTCAGTCCTACAAATGCCAGCTACATACGCACTCCTGAGATGTTCTGCCGTTCCCACAGTGTCCTGGGCCGTGACACCCAGGGTAGACAGGGCCTGAGGCTTTTCCTTTTGGCACAGAAGAGGGGGAGCCCTGACTGCTGCCCATAGAAGCCAGAGGCTGACAGGGAGCCCTGCACAGCCTTGCCTGGCTCTGGGACCTTGAGCAAATGACTTACCCTCTCGTTGTCAGTTTCCTTATCTGTAAAATGGAAGTGATAATTCTAACGATCTTGTGGGAATGTTATAATGTTTAAATTTGAGTCCACGGATATAATATGCTGAGCACAGGTCCTGGCATGAAGCCCGGGCTCAATAAAGGCTGGTTATTCTTTCTTTAGCTCCAGGAGTAGGAAAGGGCCACAAAGGAGGGCAAAGGAATAAGGGACACCAAAGAGGAGGAGAATGGGGGCATCACCTCAAAACGGGCCATAAAGTCCTTTAGGTTGGGGAACGCGTCCAGGCACTTGGGCTCAAATATACGGTGCAGGTCAAGGACATCATAAGTGAGGAAATCCACAAAGGTGATCTGCAGAAAGCCAAGCGTGAGTCAGCTGGACATCCGAGGACAGTGGAAGTCTGACAATTCTCATTCCCCATCGCCTGCCCCTTTACCTTGTCCCCTGCAAACCAGGGCCGTGTCCCCAGGAACTGTGAGAAGTGCTTCATTTTTTCAGGAATTTCCTCCAAGTACTGGGGCTTCAGTTTCTCCTGAGACAGAGAAGAGCCATCACAACGCTCACACACCAGCGCCCGGGGCACAGAGGCAGGCCTCCCCTGGGCTGTGTGTCGCCCCTCCTGGCCACAGGTGAGCAGCCATCTTCCCCACAACTGGAATTGGGTCAGCCCTCCATTAATACATCAGCATTGATTAGGCTCCTACTGACTACGAGACGCTATCTCAGGTGATAGGAAGGCAGAAAGGATTTAGACTGTCCCTGAATCTGTCACCACTGATCCCCAAACAAGTCTCCTGTGGGTCAGACCCAGGAGCACCCTGAGCATCTGGCAGGCTCTGCACTGAGATGTCAGATAGAATGACAACAGTACAGAATGAAAAGATCTCAGGGAAAGAAGTCGAAAGTTCTACCTAGTGGGGTGGCAGAAGAATGTAATGGATGTTTGAGTAGTTTTTCAAAGATAAGGAGAGTTTCATGTTGAAAAGGAGGGAGAGGCACAGGGCTCTCTGGTGACCCTGAGCTTCCTATTAGGAAAACACCCTGATCCCTGTTGGTGTCAAGGAAAAGCACTAGAAAAACAGTAGCCCAGAAGTCCACATTAAGGGTGCTATTTCATTCCCCCATCTTGTACTTTTATGTGTACTGCACAAGTACGCAGATGGGGTGAACCACCTAGGAGGGATGGCTCAGGGCAGAGGCATGGAGAATTCTGAACACATGACTTTATTGGCTAGGAAATGAATTTCAACCCTGGGTGTCTGAACTTCCTAAGATTGGTAGGGACTGATTTAGGGTTTTCATTTGATACAGTTTACTGTTAAGAGGGTCACTCTGGTACAGTTTAAGGAACCCCCCTGGAGTATCAGTATCTATTAAGACTTCAAACTGTGAATAGGACCAAAGCAGATATGAACAAAAGAATCCTGGTTCCTGATTCAAACCATTCCTAGCTCAGCCCAGGGAGGCACTCACAAAGTCAGCACTGTAGCAGACCATGGCCAGCTGATTAGAGATGTCCATAGCCTGGTTCACCAAAATGTCCACACGAATCTGCTCCTCTTCTGTCCCTCCACCTGCCACAAGCACAATAGAGACTCACCCTCAAAATCTTACACCAGCCAAGCCCAGTCGGATAGCCACTGTCCCCCACACCCTGCAGCTGGCCCCACTCACACAAATTGTGCTTGCGGGCAATGTAGTGCAGGATGGCGTTGCTCTGGGTGATCTTGTGAGCCCCATCAATTAAGTAGGGCAGCTGGATGGGCAACCAGGGTGGTCAGTTGGGTCACCAGGCTCCCCAGTATCCCCTTCTCTTAAGCAAGGGAAGACATGAGCCCCAGCACTCACTGTGCCTGCCCACAGCCCTAAGTAAGAATACTGTCAGGCCAGGCACAGTGGCTCACACCTGTAATCCTAGCACTCTGGGAGGCCGAGGCAGGCAGATCACTCAAGGTCAGGAGTTCCAAACCAGCCTTAGCAAGAGCTAGACCCCGTGTCTACTAAAAATAGAAAGAAATTAATTGGCCTACTAAAAATACATAGAAAAAATTGGCCAGGCATGGTAGCACATGCCTGTAGTCACGGCTACTCGGGAGACTGAGGCAGAAGGATCGCTTGAGCCCAGGAGTTTGAGGTTACTGTGAGCTAGGCTAACGCCACGGCACTCTAGCCTGGGCACCAGAGTAAGACTCTGTCTCAAAAAAAAAAAAAAAAAAGAATACCGTCAGATGGATGAGTGAGCTGGGACACAGAACATCATGGAGAGGCAGCGTGGAGAGCCAGAGGTGAGAGGAATGGAGAACAAGGCACCTGATCCCAAAACCTCTGAGCTGGGAAAGGACATGGACATGGAGACACCTTCACTTTCCCCAAAGCCGCCCCTCCTGTGCACCTACGTTGGGAAAGTCCAGGCCCAGCTTGAATTTTTCATTCAGCCACTGGCTTCTGTCATAGTCAGGAGCTGTGGTGGAGAAGATGAGTGAACACAACCCTCCCCGAGTCCAGCCCTTCCCCCGCCCCTCCCAAGCAGTCAGAGGCAACACCCCCTGAGGCAGGTGGATCTAGAACCTGAACCGTTCAGTCTCCCATTCCAAGGTGAGGGTTGGGCAGGCGGGTGAAGAATGCTTGCAAGGGCTCTGGACTCTGTCCCACTAAGGCTTGCAAAGCTTTAGACAAACCCTAAGAGGGACCCAGCCAACTACCTACACCACGCCCAGCAATCCCTCCCAGCGCCCCGCTGTGAGACCCGACCGCCCCCTCCAAGCGCTTCAGGGAAGGCCAGGCTGCAGCTCCAGCAGGTGGAGGCTGCACAGGGAGCCACAGGTGGCCACGGCATGGGCCGCCTGGTACCAGCTCAGCCTGAGGTGGGCAGAGGTCCCGACAAAGGGTGCCATTACCGTCCCCCATCGTGTATGTCTTTTCTTCATAGCTCGAGTCTGTGTATTCCAGGAGCAGGCGGATGGCGTGAGCCAGCTGCGAGACAGGGCCCAGGTCAGACACGGAGGGACCCCGATTCCGGACTTTATGCACCCCACGGCGGCCCCCACCCTACACCTACACGCCCCCGTCCCCCACGGGCACGCGCAGGCCCTCGTGAGACGGACAGGCAGCGGCCCCAGCGCGCCCTGAAGAGCGACCACCCCCAGAGCCGGCGCCCCGCTGCTCAGCCCTTCCCGGCCCCGCGCCGCGGCCCCACCGCCCGGCGGCCGCTCGCTCACCCCGCGGATGTCCCAGTAACCCAGCGTCATCGGCATGGTGCAGGTGGCCGTGGACTCGGTGGACGGGCCTCAGCGGGGCTGGGCTGCGACTTTCCGCAGGGGAACACAGGTTCTCTCCGACCTGCTTGGCTCCGCCGATCTTAAAAATCGTCACTTCCGTCGAGTCTTCCGAGATGCGCAGGCGCAGGAGGCCCGCAGCAGGGCGTCTGAGCCTCAGTGGCGAGAAGGAGTCAAGGTCTGCCGCGCCTACAGCCCCTAGGGTTCAGGTAGCCAAGTCTAGGCGCCCAGAAGCCAAAGCAGAGCTCACCTGCTTCCCCGGCTTCGCCCCTATCCCGACCTCTGCTAGGTGGCAGGGCGTTGGCAGTGCACTAGGGAGAAAAGCCAGATCTTAAAAGTGCAAAGGTCTACTCCCTTCTCTTCGCCTCTTGTCTGCGGAGTTCCCGCAGGCCCTGGGAGCCTCAGGCTGCCACAGTTTGGCCAAAGAGTGGTGTCCCCAACCCGAGAATTTAGATCAGCACTTCATCCCTATTAAGTCACAGAAATCTGAAGGTGTGCTCATCTCTGCTAAGTTAGGGACCTTGGAGAGTATGTCACTGGTGCTGCCTGAGCTCAGTGTCTGTTGTGAATGCTCCCCGCTCCCATTTAGACTGGGCTCTGAGGCCAGGGTCCAGGCTGAGGAAGAGACCTCTGTGTCAGGGTGGATTGCCATGTAGGTTTGCCTACCGTGAGGCGATAGCCGATACACAAGTGCTTGGACTTCTGAATAATTATTTCTTATTATACATTAAGAGTTTGTCATTCTTGAGTTTTGGTTTTTTTTTTCTTTGAGACAGAGTCTTACTTTGTTGCCCAGGCTAGAGTGAGTGCCATGGCATCAGCCTAGCTCACAGCAACCTCAAACTCCTGGGCTCAAGCAATCCTGCTGCCTCAACTTCCCGGGTAGCTAGTACTACAGGCATGCGTCACCATGCCCAGCTAATTTTTAATTTTTTCTTTATATATTAGTTGACCAATTAATTTCTTTCTATTTTTAGTAGAGATGCAGTCTCGCTCTTGCTCAGGCTGGTTTCAAACTCCTGAGCTCAAACGATGTGCCCACCTCAGCCTCCCAGAGTGCTAGGATTACAGGCGTGAGCTACTGCGCCCGGCCAGTTTTAAACATCTTGAGGTAGGAAAGAAAACATTTCCAGATTCAATTAAGAGAATGATTTTTTTAAGAAAGCTATCACTCATGAGAATTATAATTGTGAACAACATAGAAGACATTGTTACATTAGTATTCATCCATGTGGTCATTGCTTTATTGCAAAAATAGCTGTTGAGATCCTACCATATCCTAGGCTAAGACAAACCAAGAAGATTGTACTTCTTGGTACAATCTTTGCTACCTAAAAGTAGAAGTCAGGTGGGAACTGCAGGGGAGAGATTTTGAAAATATGGGACACATCTTACTGTGTTTCTACACTGAGAGGCAGTGGAGGGGAGAGAGGTTGCGTGCAGTGGAAAGGAGCAATCCATGCCCAGGCCAGGACTCTGAGGAGCTGGAAAGATGGGCTCAGGGCACAGGTGGCCTCTTCAGCAGGAGCAGGACTCTGCAGGAGGGGAAGGACTAGACCAGTGGGCTCTCAAAAGCAGGCTCCACAGTGGCCAAGAGGATCATCAAAATGGATGAAATGGGTCTGCGCCAGGCAGTTGGGAGCAGCAGGGATGAGGGAAACTGAAAAGTGGTGTCCTTGAGAAGAATGTATATGGTGTTGTTTGTTTATTTAGATACAGTCTCTCTCTGTCTCCCCAAGTAGAAGGCAGTGGCATCACCATAGCCCACAGGACCTCAAACTCCTGGGCTCAAGCTGCCTCAGCCTCCCGGGTAGCTGGGACTAAAGGTGCACGCTACTATGTTTAGCTGAGTTTTCTGTTTTTAGTAGAGCCAAGGTCTTGCTCTTGTTCAGGCTGGTCTTGAACTCCTGAGCTCAAGCAATCCTCCCACCTCGGCCTCCCAGAGTGCTAGGATTACAGGCATGAGCCATTGTGCCTGGCCTGTATGGTGTTCTTGTTAGATAGAATTTTCTGCATATGAGTTCTAGCTGTCCACTGTGGTGTTCAAGTCCACTACTTTCTGCTTCTGTCTGGTTGTGCCTTCCATTATTGAGAGTGAGGTATCCAGGCCTCCCGTTGTCATTGTGGAACTATTTCTCCCTTCAATTCTATCAGTTTTGGCAGCATGTATCTTGCTTTATTTCCCACTGTGAGAATTGTGGCCTATATGACAGAGAAATCGATTATCACTCCTGGATGTTCTCCAAGATTATCTCTGCAGTCTTCATTTTGGAAGCTTCTGTATATCCTTTTTAATAAAACATGATTTCCTAGTGGGATGGTAGTTTTAAATATCTGGCAGTCTCTAACAATTGGTCAGAATCACAGGGTGAGTTAGTGTGCAGTAGACAGTATGGGCCTGATGTCATATAAGAAACAGTATTTTAGTGGAACACAGATTGCACTGGGAGTAAATACAATATCACTTATTGCAATAGGAATGAGTCACTTTTGTGTTCCTAGAGATGGGCAAAAGTGAACACTAAATCTCCTGTTGTGGATCATAGGTGAATAGTGTGGAAGTGCAGCTCTTATCTGTTGATGATAAAGCTGGAGGTATTGTATGAGTTGCAATTCTTAATCACTTTTCATTGTAATTGTTAACAGGGTAGAATCTAAGATTGGTGGTTAAATTTTCAAACAACATGGACTGACCTCTTTTTTTTTTTTTTTTTTTTTTTTTTGAGACAGAGTCTCACTTTGTTGCCCAGGCTAGAGTGAGTGCCGTGGCGTCAGCCTGGCTCACAGCAACCTCAAACTCCGGGAATCAGCGATCCTACTGCCTCAGCCTCCCGAGTAGCTGGGACTACAGGCATGCGCCACCATGCCCGGCTAATTTTTTTTGTTATATATTTTAGTTGGTCCAATAATTATTTCTATTTTTGGTAGAGACGGGTCCTCGCACAGGCTGGTTTCGAACTCCTGACCTTGAGCAATCCGCCCGCCTCGGCCTCCCAAAGTGCTAGGATTACAGGCGTGAGCCACCACGCCCGGCCTTGACCTCTTTTTTGAGGGGAGGAGAGGTCCTGCTATGTGGCCCAGGCTGGAGTGTAGGACTGCAGTGGCCATTCACAGGTGCAAGCACAGCTCACTGCAGCCTTGAACTCCTGGGCTCAAGCAATTCTCCCACCTGAATCTTCCAAGTAGCTGGACTACAGGCGTGTAGCACCATGCCCAGCTTGGTCTTTTATTAATTCATAAAGAGATAACCTGTGAGTCCAAGGGCAGGGGGGTTGATCTTATACACATTAAAGCTAATGGGGCCGTGCGCGGTGGCTCACGCCTGTAATCCTAGCACTCTGGGAGGCGGAGGCGGGCGGATTGCTCAAGGTCAGGAGTTTGAAACCAGCCTGAGCAAGAGCGAGACCCCGTCTCTACCATAAATAGAAAGAAATTAATTGGCCAACTCATATGTATAGAAAAAATTAGCCGGGCATGGTGGTGCATGCCTGTGGTCCCAGCTACTCGGGAGGCTGAGGCAGAAGGATCACTTGAGCCCAGGAGTGTGAGGTTGCTGTGAGCTAGGCTGACGCCACGGCACTCACTCTAGCCTGGGCAACAAAGTGAGACTCTGTCTCAAAAAAAAAAAAAAAAAGCTAATGGTAATATTTTAGGCCACAGGAGTTTGAGGAGCTTTGCTAATTTTAGTTTTATAATTTCATTAGTTCTCTCTATTTTTCCCTAGGACTGTGGATGATAAGTAAAGTTTTTGGGTAAAAAGCAAACTTTACAGAGTTCCTTAATGACAATACCAGTAAAATGAGTGTCTTTGTCATTATTAGAGAGATGAGTGGGAATTCCCAGGTGGGAAAACAAAATCAAGCAAAAATGTTTGCTACCGATAGAGCTATAGCACTCCAGCAAGGAAGCTATTTATAATCCATTGCAAGAGGCACTTGTCTAAAGTCCATTTGGAGACATGAAGGGCCCTCAAGGCCTTGGTTCTTGTCCATATGCATCTTTACAGTTACGAGGATCATGTTGTTGGCAGTAGGACATGTTTTTAAAACATCCTTAGGAATACCTCTAAAATTACCCCACCAACGTTGGTTTAATACTGCTGCAAATTTATCCCTGCTATTATGAGTAATGTCGTAAAGCACTTTTGCAAAACTCCACTATAAAGTATTTGGTATTATGAGTCAGGCATCCTGAAGGCACCAGATAATATCTATGCAAACTTTTCCCGCTTCCAAATGTGTCCATTTTTTGAATCAGGGTTTGTCTATGACAGTTAAAAATAGCCTCTTTGAATTCCTCCCAGGCCTATCTTTTCTGTGTGGTTACAGGAGCAACGATCTTGACTAATACTGCTAGGGTTAGCATAATGGTAAGCTAAAACATTATTAGAGAATTCTGGGTCTTTGTGCTTTGAATGATTGTTTTTATTATAACTATTAATATTTCCTTAGGTAACAGCAAAACAGCAGTTTTATTAACTTGTTGTCCAATTGTTATAGGTTTTTGTTGAGGTTACAAAACTCTTCATTTCCAAAGCATTCCAAATTCACAGACTCCCGGCAAAAGTGCATCTACTGTTAGTATACATGCTTACACTTGTATATTTTACAAACTGGTATGCCTGGTTGGGGGAAATCATTGTAGTCATCAAAGCAGATTTAATTTCTGGAGTGGTCTATATTTTAAGGGTGAATCAGATCTGTGATAGCATTTTTAAAAATGAACAAATAAAATTAGGTCAGGGCTATCCAAGGATATTTCTAACAAAATTATTAAGAATATGTGAAAAGCACTGAGAGTTAACAGAATAATTTGATAAAAAAAAAAAAGAACCTCTATTAACCTAGTCATAAAATAACTGAATTATTTTACATGACAGATCCAAATTCTAATTTTACTCTTAGTTCATTATTTTTGTAACAATACAGTAAGGACTCAATTAATATTCCTGTATTTGTATATATTTGGGCATACACGCATATATAAAGATACAAATAAGTAATACTTTAATAGCTTTTTTTAAAAGTTGTGGCACCAGGCACGGTGGCTCACACTGATAATTCCAGCATTTGGGAGGCTAAAGCAGGAGGATTGCTAGAGC